CCTTTAGTTTTTTGGACCCTGACCCTGCCGATCTGCGTGAGGGGTGCCGCCGAATTTTAGAAATGTAGCAAATCCCTTGTGTTTTTGGACCCTGACACTACGGATTTGCGTGAGGGGTGCCGCCGAATTTGGGAAATGTGGCACATCCTTTTTGTTTTTTTGACCCTGACACTACGGATCTGCGTGAGGGGTGCCGCCGAATTTCAGAAATGTGGCAAATCCCTTTAGTTTTTTGGACCCTGACCCTGCCGATCTGCGTGAGGGGTGCCGCCGAATTTTAGAAATGTAGCAAATCCCTTGTGTTTTTGGACCCTGACACTACGGATTTGCGTGAGGGGTGCCGCCGAATTTGGGAAATGTGGCACATCCTTTTTGTTTTTTGGAACCTGACCCCGCCGATCTGAGTGAGGGGTGTCAATTTTTCCCCACTCAGACAGCACGCAGGGCGTGGTAAAAATGCCCGTTTTGGGCCTCCCCCCCTCGCGCGGTCCATCAACAAGGAACAGTAAGCAGCAAGAAGTCAACAAGGAACAGTAAGCAGCAAGAAGCAGAACTGTAACAGTGGAAACTGGAAGCTGCAACTGGCACAGGAAACTTCGAAGCTTCGTCCTACAGCCTGGTGGCCCCACAAGGGGGCTGGCGGATTTTTTGTCCCAAATCAGTGCTTGCACTGAAGGGATCCTAGCGGAAATTGAAAGATTTGGCGAAAGTTTCCGGGCCAATTTCGGTGGGTTCCGGGTTCCCGGGTTCCCGGTCGATCTTCTTATCGATCAAACTAGCTACTGTTTGGGGTTTACTCTGGTGGAATTCAATATTCCTCCTGTAGAGGGACACGCCCGACTTAGCTTCACTGGTGACCCCCGTTGGCACTGCCTGGTCATCGAGCCCGGCTCGGGTGACAGCGTCGCCTACGACGAGGGGCTGTTCAGCTCCTACCGGTCTTCAGAGGAGGGCGAGGAGGAGGAGGAGGAGGAGGAGGAGGAGGAGGAGGAGCAGGAGGAGCAGGAGGAGGAGGAGGAGGAAGAGGAGGAGGAGGAGGAGGAGGAGTAGGAGGACGAGGAGGAGGAGGAGGAGGAGGAGCAGGAGGAGGAGCAGGAGGAGGAGCGGGAGGAGGAGCGGGAGGAGGAGGAGGAGGAGGAGGAGGAGGAGGAGGAGGAGGAGGAGGAGTTGGGCGTCAGACCCTCGCGCAATGGTAGTTGGCCTCTTAGGGGGGCCCTCGTCGCCAAGGCTTGACGCAGCTCGGAAAGCTCGTGCGTCTGGACCTCGGGTGGGGTCCAGGGACCGCTTTCGAGTTGCTGCTGTCTCAGCCCGCCCTGCTCCGAGGTCTCCCGAGGGCCGCGCTGCGTTCCCTTTTGGGCACGGCCTGTCCTACACGACGTTCGAGTACACCAAGCCCCGGACTCCGGAGAAGAACGGAAGTGCAGAAGCAGAACAAGCTCCGGAGGTCCGCGCGGAGCTCTCTTGGATCTGCGCTGGGCCCTCCCGCCCCTGGCGCGCGGAGCGCGCCTGTGCGGTCGCGCGCCGATCCGAGAAATCCACGCAGACCTCCGAAGGGTTGATTCTGCCTGTGCCGTGCGCCCAGGCCCCAAACGTCATGACTTGCTCCAACGTCGACCCCCAGAGGTCTCGAAGCTTTCCCAGGGATCGCCGTTTCATCACGAGTCGTTCTTTACGGTCCCAGGGCCCGGCGAGGGCCCCCAGAGGCCGAAAGTAGCAGAAAACCGCCGCCCGCCCCGAGTTTTTCCGACGCGAGGGGGGCTGGCTTTGTTCTCCAGGGGGGTGCCTGTCCCGATCCATGTCAGCGTGTGCCCGAGGCTGTGCTTATACTGTTTTGCGTTCTTCCAGGATCGTCGACGACTGCGACGGCGCCGTGTGCATAGGCCGGCGGGGCCCACAAGAGGTCGGCGCTGGGCTGCTGGCCTTCCAAGACGGCGAGGGGCTTCTTAGGAGGCAGGGGCCTCCTCAGCAGGGCCCTGGGGCTTCTGAGAGCCGAAAAAGGAAACAACAAACACATAAACATATTTGTTCGACGGTCCGCGCGGATTTATTGGATCTGCGCCGCCCCTGGCGCGCCCCACGCGCCTGGAAGGCGGGGGACCAGGCGATGATCCAAGAGACCCGCGCGGACCGTCGAGAGTCTGTGTTTCTGCTTGCGTTCTTCCTTCGAAGACGCTCAGATCTTGGCGTTGCAGTTTGTTTTTCCCCTTTCAAAACGGGCGTTTCCGCCCGGTTTCGGGCCCTGGGACCCTCGCAGATCGATCCGGCTCGAAAAATGGCGCAGAAAGATGGGGCCCGGGGATCCGGTCGTGTTTTGTTCGCGATGGTGCAGCTATGCTTTTTCGCCGCGCGTCGTATCTCAAGGGGGGCCTTTTCAGAAGCCGGGGGGGGCCCTTCTGAGGAGGCCCTTTCTTTTGTGCAGGCCCCTCCGCCTTCTCAGAAGGCCGCCCGCCCCCCCCTCGCGCCATCCCCGACATGCGCTGAAATTCAAGGGAAGAGAAAACCACCCGGACCCGACAATTGGCGTTCACTAAACGGCCCTGGGCGTTGATTAAACAGCCCTACCCTGTTCGATTCCTTCTTTGGGTGCGTTCACTAAACGGCTTCGCTTGTCGGGGTGGTTCTGATGGGGGCGGATCTTTCGCCCTCTGGACATGATGTGTCGATCCGCGGGCCCTGAGGTCCCGACCGTCTCCACTGACGTAGCTCTTCGTCCCGGATCATCTGTGTCTCCCGGATGGGGTCAGAGTAGATGGGGTCGGAGGATCGCGCCGCATCGCCGATGCATCGGCGATGCGGCTCGATGTGGAGCCGCCGATGCACCACCGATGGCATCCCCAATGCATCGGCGATGTATCGCCGATGCATCGGCGACGCGGGGCGATCCTCCGACCCCATCTACTCGGACCCCAGCCAGGAGGCCTCTGGATCGATGTTAGATGGTCCTGGGGCCCGATGACCGACCGCAGGGGCCGAAATCGAAGGAAAACGTCGGGGTTGAATGGATTTGACGAAGAGCCCAGCCCTGTCTGAACACGTGGCGAATAGAAGCAGGACCGTTCAATACACATGGCTACACTGAGGGACAAATATGCAGTACCGCTGAACGCTCCGCCATGAACTTGCCAGACCGCTCTCAACATTCCCCATTCACGCACGTACCCTCGCGACTCAAATTGCAAACGGAGGGGCTAACGAAACGAGTGAGGGATATGCTGACATGGGGTGGGGCGACGCCATGCGAACCCAGCCACTGGGGCATTCGGTGGATCCCTCTATGGGCCACGAAGCGTGTGAGGGGTGTGCCGACATTGGCCCGAGTCCGCATACGGACCCTGCCACTGGGGCCTTCGGTGGATCCCCCTGATATGGCCACGAAGCGTGTGAGGGGTGCGCCAAAATTGACCGGAGTTCATACGCAGACCCTGCCAGAGTGGCATTCGGTGGAGCTCCTTATTGGACCACGAAGCGTGTGAGGGGTGCCAGAATTGTCCCGAGTCCGCATGCGGACCCTGCTACCGGGGCCTTTGGTGGAGCTCTCTATGGGCCACGAAACGTGTGGTGTGTGTGTTTGTGTGAGAGCGTGTGTGAGCGTGTGTGTGTGTGTGTGTGTGTGCCAAATTGGACCCGAGTCCGCATGCGTGCCTTGCTACTGCGGCGTTCGGTGGAGCTCCTTGTGGGCCCACGAGACGTATGATTGGCGTGCCAAAGAGGACCGCGTCCGCATGCGGACCTGCCACTGGGGCCTTCGGTGGGTCTCCCTATGGGCCACGAAGCGTGTGAGGGGTGCGCCAAAATTAATATGAGTCCATACGCTGACCCTGCCAGAGTGGCCTTCGGTGGAGCTCCCTGAGCCACGAAAGGTGTGCGGGGTGTGCCAAAATGGACCTGAGTCCGTATGCGGACCCTGCCACTGGGGCCTTCGGTGGAGCTCCCTATGGGGCCACGAAACGTGTGAAGGGTGTACCAACGTGGGCCCGAGTCCGCACGCGGACCCTGCCACTGGGGCCGTCGGCCGAGCTCCCTATGGGGCGGCGAAACATGCGAGGGGTGTGGCGAAACGGTGATGTGAATGATGATTGTTGTAACGAGTGTGAAGGCGATGATGCTGACGACGACCACGACGACGACTACGAGGAGGTGGATGATGATGATGATGATGATGATGATGATGATGATGATGATGATGATGATGATGATGATGAGAATGAGGAGGAGGAGGAGGAGGAGGAGGCGCAGGAGGAGGAGAGTGAGGATGAGGATGAGGATGATGATCATGATGATGTCTGATGATGATGATGATGGTGATGGTGAGGATGAGGATGAGGATGATCATGAGGATGATGATGAGGATTATAATGATGATGCTGCTGCTGATGATGCTGATGCCGATGCTGATGCTGATGCTGCTGATGATGCTGGGGGTGATGATGATGAGGATGATGATGCTGATTATGATTATGTGTTTGATGATGATGACGATGACGATGACGATGATGATGATGATGATGATGATGATGATGATGATGATGATGATGAGGATGAGATGAGGATGAGGATGATGATGATGATGATGATGAGGATGAGGATGAGGATGAGGATGAGGATGAGGATGAGGATGATGAGGATGAGGATGATGATGATGATGATGATGATGATGATGGATGATGATGATGATGATGATCATGATGATGGTTGTGGTGGTGGTGGTGATGATGATTATGCTGATGATGCTGATTCTGATGATGACGACGACGACGACGACGATGGGAATGATGCTGATTGCAAGGATGAGGAGGCAGAGTAGAGGAGGGGGATGAGGTGAGGATGAGAGGGATTGAGACGCGCGGCGCTGCGAATTCAAAACGAGGACCCAACCAATGGGGGTGGGGAAAAAAGATATCGTCGGAGATATTGGACCCCTTTTGGGGCGCCGCCGAATAGGGCTGAGCGTCGTGAACGTCGGCGCGGTCGTGGGCGCCGAGGTCGCGCAGGCGTACGTCCGCTTTTCGGCCTGCGACCGCGAGCCGGGCCTGGTGCTGCGCGGCTTCCAGCGCACCAAGTCGCTGGATCCCGGCGAGGCCACAGAGGTTCGGAGGAGAAAAGTCTGAGGAGGAAAAGGCACCTCGAAGAACAACAACCAGCGTAAACATAAATGTTCTGAGCTCCGCACGGATTTCTCAGATCGGCGCTGAGCCCCCCTGGCGGCGCCTCCGGCGCAGCCCCTGGCGCGCTCAGCGCGCCAGAGAGGGTGGTCTAGCGCAGATCCAAGAAATCCGTACGGACCTCCGACAGTTCATATGTATGCAGTTGTTGTTCCTCTAGTACCGATGCCGTTGCCCTTGCCTTGCCTTGCCTCGTTTTCGCCTGTTCGGGGTTTCTGGGAGGCCCTCGCCACCGCTGGCTTCGCTTCGATATCCTTGTCAGAACGCACCCTGGGAGAGGTCCAGGGAGTAGCGTATCGGTATCTCTTGGCTTCCCAAGGTTGAGATCTAGGCGCTGCACTCTGTCACGTCAGCCGTTCCCGCCCCCAGCTTCGGGCCCCCGGACCATCACGGATCGATCCGGCTGGAACAGTGCCGCAGAGAGATGGGGTCTAGGGCTCTGGACAAGCTTGTTTCACGATGTGGCGTTTTTTTTTCGCGACGTCGAAGCTGATAAAATCCCGCTATATGTAGAGTGCACCCTCGCCAAAGTGACCGTCGGTGCGGGCCCACTGGGGTCCCCTGATCGCAGAGCGCGGTGCGGCAGCAGCGGTCTCCGCGCTTGGGGTTGGCCGCCGCCCGCGCCCTCCGGAAACCGCGTACGAGAGGTCACTCGACTCTTGCCCAGGGCCACTCGTGGGCGAGGCCGAGTAAGCTTTAGTCGGACATGTCCCTCTGCAGGAGGAGTAGCCAACAAGAGTCACAAAACAGTCTGGGGACGATTTTGTCCACTATGTTTGACTCTGTTTGCACATGTTTGGGGGTATTTTTTACCCTTCGTCCAAAATCCTCGGCATCCCCCCAACATACTTATACTATGTGTTCGTCGCCCCCCCAGGGGCGACGCGCGCACCGAGAAATCTTGTAGTATATGCGTCGTGGCGGGCGCTTTCTGGCCACACCGCTCGAGAAACGATATACTACAAGATGGGTATACTATATGTTCGGGTCGGACGCGCGCCTCCAAGGCGGACATACAGTATTAGTATGTCTCTGTGCGTCCCGCAGGAGGACATGCCCGACCTGAGCCCAGGGCCACTCGTGCGCGAGGCCGAGTAAGCGGACACTTGTGGAGGTTCGCCGGGCCCTGGCGCGCGGAGCGCGCCCGGGGCGGCGCCTGGGGCGCCGCCGGGAGGGTCCAGCGCCGATCCGAGGATCCGCGCGGACCTCCGAAGTTATGCCTGTGGCCTATGCTGGCATTCCTCCCTCCTCCTCCTCCCTCCTCCTCCTCCTCCTCCTCCTCCTCCTCCTCCTCCTCCTCCTCCTCCTCCTCCTCCTCCTCCTCCTCCCCCTCCTCCTCCTCCTCCTCCTCCTCCTCCTCCTCCGCCTCCCTCAGAGAGAGAGAGAGGTGCTCTTCAAATTCACGGACAGGGACCTCTCGGTCTACCACGCGGAGTCCGGCTGGACGCGGATGGGCGCCTTCGAGGTCCACATCGGGGCGTCCAGCGGCGACATACGTCGCGTTGTCAACGTGGACCCGCCGGGCGGCGCCGAAGCTGGCGCCGCCCTGGCGCAGTGACGGGTCGCTTGCCCCTCCCCGCCACTTCCCCAGTGCTCTTCCGCCCCCCCTCCTCTCCCCAGGCCCCACCGTGTCGTGAAAGACATCACGCCGCAAGATCTGTCGCTGCTTTCTGCCGCTGGGGCCGTCACAGAACGACTCGGGACTAACAGCCCGCCCTAGGAAGTGTGGCACCGGGGAGCCTCCCGGGGCCCTGCTCTCCCTCCGCAGCGGGGGCTGGCGGCGGACCCCGGCAGGGGTCGAGAGAAAGTCACCTTTTGCTCTCCTGGCCTCCACTGGCGGTGGGGTAGAGAAAGAGAAAGCAAGGGGGGAAATATGGAGTGCGAGTACGTAACAGGGAGCAGGGAAGAAATCCAATGAGAGCCGCACTCTTACGACACGGATTCTTCGTCTTTGTGGATTTGCCCCCGCTGCAGCCTTAGCAGAGAGCAGTTCCCATAACGAAAGGGAAGCATCGCGGTCGCGATCCGCGAACGTGAAACCTGAGATTGTGCTTGAATCCACACGCAGCTAACACTGTCGAGAAGTCCCGTCAAGAAATCTCTCGCAGCAAGCCTCCTCCTCCTTCTCCTCCTCATCCTCCTCCTCCTCCCCCTCCTCCTCCTCCTCCTCCTCCTCCTCCTCCTCTTCCTCTTCCTCCTCCTCCTCCTCCCCCTCCTCCTCCTCCTCCTCCTCCTCCTCCTCCTCCTCCTCCTCCTCCTCCTCTTCCTCTTCCTCCTCCTCCTCCTCCCCCTCCTCCTCCTCCCCCTCCCCCTCCTCCTTGTCTGGGAAGTCCCTTGCACCAGACGCTGTCGCCCAAGCCTCTCGCAGCAAGCTCTCTGCCTGGGTTCGTCGGCCCACGCGGAGGTATTCCTACTCGTCGGCAAGGGACACAGGGCAACAGCCTCGGCACAGCGGCACGGCGTGTGGGGAGAGGGGGAGGAGGGACAGAAATCCAAAGATGTCACGACGGCACAGCTCTGGGCGCAAACGTTCCATCCTTCGCTGGCTTACGCATCCGCGCCTCCCAGCGCTCCCGTGCCACACGCATGGCTGTCTTCACAGCTTCAGCCGTGAAGCCGATACTCCACCTTCCACGCTCCAGCGCTTCCTGCTGGTGATCTGCGGGCACATCCTTGTTCAGTGATTACGTCGCTCAGCATGTCGGTTCCATCCGTCCAGCGTGCCGTCGTCTGCGGGCGGTCCAACGTCTCCCTGGTGCTGGCAAGCTCCAGGTTCATTGGCTTCTGGGCAGAGCTTCCCACGCCGTCGTCGGAGTGGAGCCCGTCGCGTCCGTCCCTGGAGTCCGTCATCACCGTCGGAGGGACCTGCCATCCTGATCGCTCCCTCCCAGCACCTCGCGCCACTGGGCCGTCCAGCATCTCTGCGATGTGGTCCCTCGCGCCTTGTGCCACAGCCACTGCGTCGCCAGCAGAGATCACCCCCGCCGCGCAGGAACTCCTCGCTGCACGCCTCAGCTCGTGGCCCCTGCCCTCTGGGAGCAAGGACCTGCCGACTCCACCGTCAACGGGCTCCCGGTCCGCGAGCATGATCAGGTAGCCGCCCGGCGTGCCGATCTTCTCCGTGGCCGGGTCTGACTTTAGAGCTGTGCCGTCCTTCACCACGTTGCCGAGTGAGCTATCTGAAATCGCCACGAGCACGAAGCGTTTCAGGTCGATCGGCCGCATCGTGATCTTGAAACTCGAATCGCGCGTTAGCTCCCTCAGCACCTGGTTCGCCTCGGTCAAAGCTGAAACCCTCGGACCCTTCTTCCTGCCCTTCTCGCGCTGCAACACCGCCAGGTCGTACGAGTGATCCACGCGGATGGCTCGAACCTTCGGCCGCAGAACACGAAGTCGTCGTACTCCTCACTCCCGAAGCCGAAGCCGAACTCCTTGCCCGAAGCCGTCATCACCTTCGCCATCCTCTCGCTACCAGTCCAGAGGAAGCCGTCCACTTGAATGCAGACACATCCCCACAGGCTGTCGGGGCCTCGCTTCTTCATCTTCAGGTCGCGCAACACCAAAAGGGTGGGGTCTGATCGCGAGCCCTCCAGTCCCAACTTGCGGGCAGCCGCCACCACCTTGAGGTACCACAACCTCGGCGCGGTCGGGAGCCCGAGCGCACCTTTTCGAACTCGTGCCAGTCGACCTCGGGGTAATTCAGCACTTGACGGTCCATGATTAGCTGCACGAGTCACCAGGCCACGCTCGTCCACCTCGCCATTCAGAAACGCGCCATTCTCATCTTTGGAGCCGAACGCCCACTCTGGGTCAGAAGCTGCCACCTGCGTCGGGATCATATCCGATTGGGTCGTCGCGCAGGAGGCGTCCACGCGCACGTTGGACTTCTCATCGGACCGCCCGGGGTCGCCGCTGTTGACCACGAGCCTCGCGTTTGCCTTCAGAGGGGAGGTCGTTGACCTCCGTCCGCAGCGGGTCGTTCTTGTCGGTCAGCACCCACCGCGTGCTCAGGATGCAGTCGCCCTTGCCCTCGCACTTCATCGACTCCTCGAGCTCCAGCGACTCCTTCTCCAGCAGCACCTCCACGGACGCGGTGTCAACCCACTTGCTCCACTGCGACGCCGTGGCCTCCTCGTAGTTCGCCTTGGTCGGCGGACCGATCCGACTCCAGACCTTCTCCTTCCGAGCCTGGCCCTGCGCGAGCATTGCCTCGGTCCTTGGATCTGGTCAAGCCACCTTCCCCATGTGGTCCAGAAACCTCCTCCTATCGACCTCAGGTGATTCATTGAACCAGCTGGCGGCCCTCTTCTTCACGTTCTGCATCCACAGCACATCGTCCAGATGTCGAGGTTCGGGAGGTCCATCCCGTCGACCTCGTGATGGGGCCTCTGGCAACTCAATTTGCTCAACGTCACGCTTCTGGCCGTGCCGCTGATCCTCCTGCTGCTCCTCGGTGGGAATCTGCTCATGCACTGCCTGGTCTGCTGCCTCAGCCTCTTGAGCTTCCTCAGGCGGAGGCGTCTTGGGCGCGACGTTCCCGCAGGGGCCGAACTGTCTGTCAGGTGCGCAGTGCAGGCACAGCAGCCGGGCCCGCTGCTGGTTGTCGAATTTCTGGCTCCGACGCTGCAGCACTCGGCGACGGCGGTCGTGCCGCTCCTCGTGGAGGGGGTCGCTCTGGTGCCCTGCGAGCGTTCTCGAAGCACTGGGCCCGCTTCTGGATGGTCGTGGCCATTCGCAGCGCGCTCGACCTGTCAGGATCTTCGAAGCCGCTGCGCCACCTCCTCCAGGAACTCCGAACGCCCACTCGGCTGCGGGCTGGTCTTCCGCGAGAATCGCGAGAGCCCCTCGGGCGAGATCCCGTCGGTCGTGGCGTCACCTCCAGAGCCGTCACCCGCGGCGGTCATGCCAGCCGCAGTGGCCTCGCCAGGGAAAGACTGCTGCTCCTCGGCGTCCTCGCGTTCCTCAACTGCGTCAGCCCCCTCCTCTGGAACTTGGTCCTCCTCGACTTGCGCCTCTTCGACCTCCTCCTGGGTCTGGGTGGCATCGTCCATCTTCAACTGCTCGTCGCTCTCCACGCCGCCCAGTGCCCTCTCCAGGATGTCCAGCTGCTCACGAGCACTGGTACCCAGGGCCTCGTCCGGCGAGGCACGCCGCACAGCAGCTGGGCCACGCTTCGTCGAGAGGCCTTCGTAGGACACGCAGATGGCAGCCGGCTCGACGCCGACGACGACAGCAGGTCCATGTTACGCCTGGAACAGCATCGCCGGGCCCTTGCGACGGCGATTATTTCTCGTGCCTTCACGCTAGAAACAGACCACGTCACCAAGCTTCACGTTGATACTTGGCGGCATCTGGCGACTGCGAGCAATCCAAACCCTGCGAAGTCGCTTGCCGGTGTCAAGCTCCTCCGGGGCCACGCGAGCCGCGCTGTAGACCTGCAGGCGCTTCGTCGTATAGGAGTCGTTCTCCACTGCATCGTGCGCGGCGAGCCGGGATCGGCAGCGCTCGCTGAGCAAGCCCCACGGCAGTTGCTGGGACCTGCCAAGGACGAGCTGCGCCAGTGAGACCCCGGACTCGTTGATCCGTTGGTTCTTGGCCCAAATGATCATCGAAACCGCGTCGTCAATTCGAGCTCCGTCTCGATCTCCGTCTCCGTGATGCTGGCCCGCCAGAGGACCTTCCATTCGCCTCCAGCACGCTCGCAGACGCCGTTCTGCCACGGCGCCTCCACTGCGGCGTGCCACGCCTGGACGCCGCAACCTTCCAGCAGCCGAAACACCTCCCTGTAAAACTCGCCTCTGCTGTCCGCCACCAACGAGTTAGGCGCGTCTGCCCAACTGAACCATGCCAGCTCCAGCTCCTGAGCCACGACGCATGGATGCTTGCTCTGAATCGGAGCGACCACCCAGAGTCCTGGAAGCCCGTCTTGATGCCCACGATGCAGAGTATCTCCTGCGCCCTGCCCGAGCTCGTGTGGATCGTGCACAGGTCGATCGCGATCTGGTCGCCGAACTCCTTCACCTTCTTGAGCCTCGCCGGGAAGCGGGCGTGACCCACGGCAGGACGGTTCATCTCGTGGCACGCCAGACACTGAAGTTGCATCGCCGCCGCGCTGGCCTCGTCGCTAGCACCACAAGCTCGAAAGGCTCGAACAAGTTGATATCGCGAAGGGTGTCGTAGATTCTTGTGGATCCGCATCACGGCATTGCGAACCTCTCTCGGGACCTGAACCTTCGCCAACTCCTGCTGGTCGTCCTGCGCCTCCTCGGCCGGGTGGTCCACGAACCCCCGATCATCGATCGCCTCAGGGTTCTCATCCTCCACCTCGTTAGTGTTGAGCACCTCCTTTGGTCTAAGTAGATTCATCGAGCCCTTCAGGATGCTCTTCGCCAAGTTATTCGGGTAATGACCAGTGCGTGTCGTCACGCTGGGGCCTCCGATGATGAAGTCGTGTGCGTGCGTGACTTGTCACACTTCCGCCCCAGGTCGACCACCAACTCCGGGTGTGATGCCACGAGCCTCGTAGGCTTCCGATGGGGCTTTCCACCAGCAGACTTG